TTTATTATTTGTCACATAAATGCCCAAAGTATTTTCTGGAAATTTAGAAACTTCTGACATAAATTGATTTACTTGACCGGCGGTAACAGTAGTTTCATCACAATTGACCAGAATCAAGTTTTTTTGATGTGTGCCGATTAAATATATAACATCATTTTTATCATTACTAAAGAAAAAAGAAAAAAATTGTAAGTTCACCATCATCATCAGTGTAACCTATTCACTACAGGCTTCCGCGCGAAGCTAGATCTAGCTTTTCGGATTAAACATAACGGAGAAGGACGTTCACAGGTGTTCCTGTGGCCACGATGTGCTTCCAGTTCTCCGATGCAATCCTAGAGGCAGCGTAACTTCAGATACAATAATGACTAGAATTAACTTAGTGATGTCTCACCTCAAAAAGTTGAGATTAATATTAACAAAGTTCAACACAGTCCGAGCTTGTTCAATTAAACTATATTGTTTGGTGAGTGATGCCATGACGATTATAATTAATAAAAGCAAAGCTTAAATTCAGAAAAAAAATAAACTGTTACTTATTAAGACAATTTTTTCTCACGTTTTTTAGGGGGCAAAAAAAATTTACTTCTCGCAATTTCAGTAAACTGTATATACCAAAAAAAAATATGCAAAAAAATAAGTAGCTTAGTGAATAATCTCAATTTTTTTTTTCCAGTAATACATTTCAAAATTATAAGATAGACCTTAGAGCACTTGCTGAAATATTTCTATTTTGCTGCTTTTAATAATAATGATAATAATGATAGATACTGTATTCACACGCTATTCAGATGGATTTTGCCAAATTCTTTCATTTTAGAGATCAATCGATTTCTGAACCTAGCATGTACCCAACTCATCATCTTTCGTACTGTCTTACTATTGATTTTTCTTTTTTGTCGACGAGACATTTGTATGCTATCAAATATGGGTAACACAATTACGTCAAAAGTACGAGTTAACCATAATGCTGTTTTTTTATGTACTTCATCTATCAAATTTTGAATTCGTTTCCTTAAACGTACTTGAGCACGTTTCATAGAATTACGTTTTTTTGCTGGCGCCTTAGAGGTGCGTGAAATAAGATCATCAAGAGCAAGTCCTAGGCGAAAAATGCAATTAATATCATTATCACCAAAATTTCCATATCCAATAGTTGGTGAATACCAAGTGCGAAAAGTACGGACACCAGGGTCTATAGATGCTACATGAGTATAAACTGCATGGTTTTCACAGGTTTCTTTGCCATAAACCCAGATAAAGGTCCAGTGTCTTAATTTTTTATTATATGATAATTTTGAATCTAATGTTACTTTTCCCTCTTGATTTGGCCAGCCATTATTTTTTCGTCGGTGTTCATGGTGAAGTGGCAGCAGCTTTATATCATTATACTCGTAATGTGGATGCTTAGGATTAATTTGAATAATCTGTTTATTATGTAGGAGCCGTAAATAAAAATGAAGTGGCTCACGACAATATTGAGATCGGATAGATATTGTTTGTTGCTCATTCTTATACATAATAAATAATATAAATGAATAATGATAATAAATAATAAATATATAATCGTAACAACAGGTAGCTTAAGAATGATTACCTTTTTTGAAATAAAATGTAACTTGTGAGTTGGTGGTTGACCTTTACTTTGCAATTCATTATTGTGCCGTATAATTTCATCACGTGCTAAAATTGCACTCGAGATAGAATGGTCAAGCACTTTATAAAGAACTTTTTCCATAAAGGCCCACTCTTTTGTTGTTCTGATGTGGTGTTTGAGGAGAATCTAAAAAAAAAACTGTTTATTCATGCAATAATTATGTCTGTAATTGGAAGCCACCATATTATAGACAAGTCGCGCACAACCCATCCATTGTTTTAATAACTCCTTTTGAGCTTGGTTTGGATATACTCGAATTTTAAATGATCATATTAATGATTCCTTCTTTTTTCGTTTTGCCTGTCGTGTTGTTTGAAACTTCTTTCGCTTGCCATTATGATTTATATCCTTGTTACCATTATTATTATCTGGATTTAACCTCATATGTTTAATTTCAACATGATTTCCGATAGTTTTCAGTGTTGCGGTCTGAGAAAACCAAGAACCATTATTTGATTGTTTTAATGAATATAAATCAGCAACCGGTAACCACAACTTCCTCGACCAGTTTGCGACTTTGTCATTCCAATAAGGAAATATATTGTTCTGAGTATTTGATAAAGATGATTTCGGCCGTGATAATGACATCCAAAAAGGTGTCAATCAAGTGGTAGTAATTTCTAACTTATGAAAGTTTGTGTATTTATGGTTCTCTTTTATTTACTTTTTAATGATTATCACTATCATCTTGAATAGGTTAATGACGTTACCAAATTCCAGTAGATTGGCAATCCCGCTCACACAGCTACTCGTATTTTTCGATTATCGCACTTTTAGATCAATGATCATTTTTTCTGAGTCCCGTGATAATCAAAAGTCCTATCAATCAGAGCAAGCCACTGATGCTGAAATACTATAGCAAATCTTGGATGTGTTTATGCTAAAAATTTTCTTGAATTTTTTTTTTTAATCCAAACCCTGTTGATTATATAATTAAACATTGTATCATAAAATTCTAAAAAGAAATATGTAATATTATAGTGCTATGGTTTTTATTTTTGCAAATGTCTTACAGATGGATTGAATCAACCAATTATAGCTTTGCCAAATTCCTTCATTTTTGAAATCAATCGCTTTCTAAACCTAGCATACCATCTCATACCATCTTACTATTAATCTTTTTTTTTTGTTTGTTTGTGAAACATTCGTGTGTTATCAAATATTGGTAACACAATTGTATCAAAGAACAAGAACCATAATGTATAAAGTTTTGGATTCGTTTCCTTAAGCGAGCCTGAGCATGTTTCATAGAGTTGCAGTTTTTTTTGCTAGTGCTCTAGTAGTGCGCAAATGAGATTAGCAAGAACAAGTCCCAGACGAAAAATACTGATTTTATTATAAACTAATTGTCAAACATTTATTTAGCATAATTTATACGTATGACTTATTTTAGCATAAGTGGATGCTGAAATACTATGACGTGTTTAATTCTTGTGATTAAAAATTTTTCGTGTAACTATTCAATATTAAGATAATACATATTGACTTTCTTTTTTGTTCATTAAGATAAGAAAGATAAATAGAAATTATTTTTACGATATACTAACTGAAGGATTAGTCTAAAGTATAGGCAACAAAATAAGTAGTTAACTAAAAAAAAGAAGTGATATGATTTATATAATGCTTATTGTACTATGAAAAAATCTTTAGTAAGAAATCTAATTATTCGCACAACAAATTGATATCTTATAACATTTATTTGTCTTTTAAAAAATGAACAGCAGCATTTTTATTCATTAATTGAAAGGCTACATAGAGAACTTGGAATTCATCAAGATAACTATAAATGAATTTCCTTGGATACGAAATACAGTTTATAGATAAAAATAGGCAGTATACTGATTGGCATATGAAAACGATGAATGTTCAAAGAGTATTAATTTCTCTTCTTTATTGAAATGGTATTCTTTCATTTTATGATAAATATTTCAATAGAATTTGATTTTAAATTGATTGGAAATTTAATTTTTTATCAATTGAAGTAAAACAATGCAGACTCAGGTTTGAAGTAAATTTATCAGAGTTCATTATCAAAATTGTACAATATAAAATTTCTGTGATACGTATATTCTGGATTTAGGTTACCCTTCAGATTGTGGTATTATTTTAATTAGTAATATGAATTACTTTATTTGAGTTGAACGCGTAAATGAAGGCAGTTTTCTTCTTCGAGACAATAATTTTGTATGAAATTGATAATCAAATGTCAATAAAGTATTATATTGGGTTCAACTATTAAAAATTCTTGCCACAATCATATTGAATCGTTTGATACATTGAATTTCAATTTGATTATAATTAGTTAATGTTCTGTATTATTACAAGTTTCATTGTTGTTCCAATTGAAAAAGATTCTTCATAATAAATTTACAGTTAAAAACATAATTATGGGCACAAAAGTTTAGAGGATTTTCATTTTTGATCTTTTCTTTAAATCATTATACCAACTACGCTAAAGCGATGTTTGACTATTCATATGTACTCGATATATCAAATCAATTAGGTCAAAAAAAAGTAAGGATAGATTTATATATCCTTAATTTATTAAGCAAAAATTGTTTTAATATTGTTAATACAGAAACAATATATTCTAGATTCCCCTTCTATTCAATTGTTAAAATTACTTATCAAGGTTTTTCCTATAATCTTATCATCTGGAATCATGCAACTTTTAATGACAAAGATGTTCACACCATTAATGATATGTTACTCTCCTACGAAAAAGATACAATTGTATTTGTTTGTGATGCAAATATAGAAAATATAGTCAATAAGAAATTTGAAAACTTTGAAACAAATTTTGCAGCAAATAATACTTCTTTTTGTTGGACAAAAAATGAAAATACTATTATTGATTTTCTTAAAGAAAAATTTTACTATTATTATATATGGTCTAAAAATTTATTAAAAGACGATAACAGTAAACAGGAATCATTCGTAAGATTCATGAAAGAAAAAAATAGAGATATCACTTTCATTCATAATTATTATCAAATGTGGCTTCAACAGTAAAACTTACTGTAATAATTTTTTATCACTGCAACCTTACTAGATCACAATAAAAATGATTTATGAAGAGATATTTAAATATTGAGTTATTGACATTTCTTTTGTGTAAGTATATTCTAATGTACATTCTAATGCAAAGTAACTTTTCCTAAATTTGTAGCAAATACAAAAAATAACGGCTCTTTTATCTCTTTTATTGTTTGTTTTCTCACTTATTTTAAGTAATTAGTTTTTTGTTCATTTTTAATATCACTTCTGAACTTGTAAAAAAATAAGATAATCACAATTTCTTAGATTAAAAGCAACCATTCAAGGCAAAGACCCCATATGCCCTATAAAAAAGGTGGTCTGTGTAGGCACGTGTTTCTACGGAGAGACACGATCAAGTGTGGCACGGCCGAATGTCCAGAGTGATCCGTGTTGTGTTAGCATGCTGAATTGGACCGGGTTTTGGTAAAATTCCTAGGTTTTGAACTTTAGAACCTGGTTTTTAAAAACCAGATTCCAATTTTGGAACCTAGGTTCTTAGGTTTATGATAGGTTCATGATTAGTTCTTAGGTTTTTAGGTTTTTTAGATTCTTAGGTTTATAATAGGATTTTAAGTTCTTAGGTTTATGATAGTAAACTATTAATATAACTATTAATGTAATAATTAACATAATAAATATAGTAATGTAATAAATATAATAAATAAAAGATGCTTAAGCAAAGTTAATTAAAAAGCTAATTAATAACTTATTGTATCGATGCAAAATGTAAAAGAATTTATATATCTAAACAAAATGTTATAAGAAATGATGTTAGAAGGAGACTGGCTTCTATGATGCCTAAAAAACAAGTTATTGACATAATGTTTATTAAAAAGGCAAGATCAATACAAGCATCAAAATAATATTATCGAAAAAGAAATACAAATCCAAGTAATGAACATAATATTTGTTGAGAATGATGCTAAAAATTTTATTTTAGCATGAAATTTTATAGTTTTTGGGCGTTTTTTTTTTTAGAATTAGGCTAGATTTCAGGTTAGTGTTTATAATAAAAGAATATAGGTAGAACCAGGTTCTAAAACCAGATTCTGAAACTAGATTCTGAAACCAGGTTCTAGAATCAGTTCTGGAAACTGGTTCTGAACCAGGTTCTGAACCAGGTTCCAGAACTTTTTTCTTAAGTTTTCAAAATGGAACCTAAAGGTTCTGGAACCAAAATCGAACCTAAACCAACCTAATCATCTCTAGTTTTACTGCACTTTACTAAACCAAAACTTACAGGTTTTGGACAGGTAATTGCACGTAAAGTAATGAAATAAAACGTGCTTATACGTGCGGAGCAGATTATAGGGTTCACCAAAATTCAGCAAATTAGCCCGAATTTGGGTCAGAATAGGCCAGAGTTAACAAATTTTCTCTAAAATCACCAAAAATTTTACTAATTAAGTGGTAGCTAGGGTTGTGTTACATAAATTACAATTTTACATTTTTATGTAATTTTGTGTAATTTTGCGAGTTTCAAACCTTTTTACTAATAAAATGATAACCATTTTACAAAAATCTATACAAAATTACGCAAAATTATGTAAAATTACGATAATTTAACAACCCTAGTAGCAGCCTATGCACTAAGTAAAGCTGCCCAAATGATAATTTTGCTATAATATAGTCGGCCGGTATTATTGCTTAATACTACTTTGCTCCGGCCCATAAAGTTTCAAAAGAAATATTTATATTAAATCCTTCATTTTTTATTTAATGAGAACAAAATTATATAATAAAAGAAATGCTAGTAATCTAGAAATAGAAAATGCTATTAATCTTATTAAAGAATCAGCCAATCTTGGATGTGTTTATGCTAAAAATTTTCATGAATTTTTTTTTAATCCAAACCCTGTTGATTATATAATATTGTATCATATAAAATTTAACATGTAATATTATAGTGCTATAGTTTTTATTTTTGCAAATGTCTTACAGATGGATTGAATCGATCACTATAGTCAAAAGATTTAACTATAATAAATCAATTGGCATAATTATGTCCTATCAATCAGAGCTCTAAGAAAAATCCATCAGATGCCATTTAAATCTCTATTTAATTCGAAGCCCACATCTATCACACCTAAACATTTTATTTTCTCCTAGGTTACTTTTAATATATCCACAAGTTTTACTTGTGTACACTTCTGAAACAAGTGTTATTACAACTTTGTCAAATTCCTTCATTTTAGAAATCAAACCTAGCATGCGCCCAGCTCATACCATCTTACTATTAATTTTTTTTTTTGTTTGTAGATAAAGCATATAAAAAATTTGCATTATGGTTGTCTTGTTTTTTTTGATACAATTGTGTTACCAATATTTGATAGCACACAAATGTCTCACAATAAAGTTTTGAATTCGTTTCCTTGAGCATGTTTCATAGAGTTGCGTTTTTTGCTGATGCTCTAGTACAGAATCCCTTTATAGTGTTTGTTCTTTGTTTAGCAGTATATGCTTTTCTTTTTACAAAAAAATGTAAATAACGATAATGATATCGATAATTAATTTTTATTGTGATTTCATTTAAGCAATGATTTTCTCTGCAACTAAAGATAAATTATTCGAGGTTTCGATATAACAATCTGAATTAGTCCAACAACTTTTGAATTTTACAATACAATTTATATGTGAATAGCTGGTTTAACTAGTTTGTATAATAAATTTAACCAATCCTGATTGACTATCAGAATGATCTACAGCGCGTGATCTGAACATTTCTTTGCCATGGCTAGGGTAATATAAGATATAGTGATTATGATAACTTTTTTAATAAGTTTGATCTCTAGAAGTCTAAAAAAAAAACACATATACAAATACACAAACCGTCGTAAATTAAATTTATCATTTTTTTTAGTCTTATATCCACTTTAATATACAATACTATGTCATTAACACAATCATCATTAATAGACTATGTTGTTCCTTATTGGAATGACCAAGTTGCAGACTGGTCGAGGAAATTATGGTTACCAATTGCAGATTTACCTTTGTTAAACCAATCAAACAATGGAACATGGTTTTCTCAGATAATAATACCAAATATCAACAGAAACAATCTTGAAATTAAACATACAAAAATAAATATAGATGATAATGATGAAAGTGGAAGTCATAATGGCAAGAGAAAAAAGGTTCAAACAACATGACGAGCAAAACGAAGGAAAAAGGAATCATTAATACGCTCAATTAAAATTCGAGTATACCCGAACAAAGCACAAAAGGATTTATTAAAACAATAGATAGGTTGTACGTAACTTGTATATAACATGGTAGTTGCCAATCATAGACGTAATCATCGTATGAATAAACAGTTCTTTTTTCGCATTCTCCTCAAACACCGCATCAAAACAACAAAAGAGTGGGCTTTTATGGAAAAAGTTCCTTATAAAGTACTAGATCATTCTATTACAAGTGCAATTTTAGTTCATGATGAAGTTATACGACACAATAATGAATTGCGAAAACAAGGTCAACCACTAAATCACAAATTACACTTTATTTCAAAAAAGGTAAATATTCTTAATTTGTTCAACCATGTAATGATTTACTAATTTTATTATTCAACACTTTTAGCATGTGTAAAAATTGAATCGTTAACAAATGAAAACAGACAACTAGAGAATAGCATCAGACATTTAAGTGAAATTT